AATGGAGTTTACTGGTTGCGACAACATGGATGTGAGGTGGTCGACCCAGCTTAGCTTAGGATGTGCACACGCGGGAAAACTGATTGAGAGGAACATATAAGCGCCACACAGAGAGGGAGAGAAAGAGATAGATAGAGAGAGAGGGGGTCAGACCTTTCCGCCAATATTAATTTACGAAGACTAAAAATGAAAAAAAAAATAATAAAAACAGAAATAATAATTTTAATGTATTAAATTTTTAGTCCCGTATTCTAATTAGAAGTTACAAAATTGTTATACAAAAAATAAAGTGTCGCTGCCGATACTTGAGATTGAACATAGATCACTAGTGAGCAAACACAGGCGATCCCATTATTGATTTAAGTACACCACGTGAATATAGATGAAACGCATATGTAGGAAGTCACGTGACATCTAATTGATGATTATTTCTATTCTATCCTCTATACTATAGGGATCTCTATTTCTAGTCTATCCTCTGTTACTATTCGAATCTCTATCTCTACTCTATCCTCTGTTACTATACGGACCGCTATTCTCTATTCTCTTTAACTATTTCTCTATTCAGATCACTATACAGATTACTATTAAAGCGATTATTATCGAGCAAGTACTATTAGTGCGACTGCTATTCGAAGGCGTCTGACACCAGTATTGTTCAACGGCGTTACTATAGTTGTATCTGCGATTACAAAGTCTCTACTTTAACGAGCATTACAAAAGTGACAACGAGTGATCGCTGGCACCATAAAAATGGCAACTAATGTTCGTTGACATCAAAAAAAAAAAATAATTATAGCTGTACTGAGGTACATTCTTATAAGTGTGGAAAAGAAGGAATAAAGTAAATTAACCAGCAAAATATTTATTTTAATTTTCGAATTATCCGACTCGTCAATAAAATATTTATCATCCATATGTCAGTAACAAAGATGAAATAGGCGTTGAAAAAAATTAAATTTATTAATTAATTTCTCAGATGATAGCTAAGGTTTTATTAATAAACATGGCATCTCGACTTCAATCACTTTCTCACAGACGCGAAGGGGCTTCCCTCTGTCTTTTCTATAAATATTTTCGCGGCAACTGCTCTTTCAAGCTTTCTTCCCTGGTGCTGATGAATTTAAGCGTGCTACTAGATTGGCATTTAGGTCCCACCCTTTTTTTCTGTTGAAATAGCTAAATGCAACCACCATTTCTACTCTAATAGTTTCTTTTCTCGCACTTTCCACCTGTGGAACTCCCGTTTACTTACTTCTCTGACAACTACAATCTTCAAAAATTTAAATGAAGCATTAATCCCCATCTTCTATCTTCTTGAAGGCCGTTCATATTTTTTCCTTACTCCAATCCTCCCTATCCTCAGTCTAACTTTTATTCTCTATAGATCCATGGCTACTAGTGGCATACCCGCCTTGCGTGGGTTGAAATGAAAAAATAAATAAATCAGGTCGTCCCAGAAATAATGTACGACGTCTGATAGATTAGATATTTTCGATATTTTAAAACGCATAAATCACACACTCTTAACGGAGGCAGTAATACCCCATCTAACTCGTTCTAAATACATAATATGGCAGTAAGTGTTCTGAGTAGATATGGTAGGGTGTTATAATTCTAATAGGGCAGAAAAATGATTTAATTCTTTGAAACCTTATTCGGAAAAATCACAGCATTTTATATAAGCGTAAAAAATTTAATCTGAGTCTGGTATCTGTTGGTCTCGAGAGACTATGGATCTGCGCCTGAAGAGTTATGCTCTCTCCAGAGCTCAGGCCTAGACAGATTATTTTTAATGCCACATGAAGAATAAGATAAAGCAGTAAACACTTGAAATTAACTCTGTTGAATTAACCCCATTTATGGGTGCAATATTAACATAGGGGCCTCAGAATGATCAAATATATAAAAAGGGTCATATGATGTTCGTTTTGCGGTTCGGTATTCAGTTTTATGTTCGTGGTTCTTCTACAAACTTCTTTTTAAATCTGGTGTAGTGGCTCGAAACTGTTCTTAGAGACCACTATCTTTGTCCTAAAATGGACCGAGCCTTTATGACCACGTTCAAGGCAAGATATAATTAGGAAAAAACTAAATCCAGTACCAATTCAGATACCGGTACTTATCAAACAAATAGGTTACAATGTAAATTTACGTCGGAGAGACATCACGGGATATAAAAACCCGTATTTAAGAACATAAAAGTAATTTACGTTTAGACAACCATTAAAACTTTCTCGTAATACACAGGAACACAACGGGCCATAATTTTGATTTTACTAATGTCAGCCTAATTAAAAAAGAACACAATTCTTTACGAAGTAAGTAAGAATATTACCAACTATAAACACACGTCGAAAACATATTATATCACGAATACTATATTATGTAATATTATATCACCAATATTTATTGAATCCATTCTTAAAGAATCTATTCTCTGTTTAACTAAGACAAACGGTATGTAAAAACGTTCTCAAATCAACATGCATAAAAACAACAAAGATAATGTCTATTAGAAACACACACACACACACACACACAAATATACATTATCATCTGAATCCCACATAGTCAAAGTAGAAGTATAATACAGTTACATACATAAAACAATATTTACGGGTATTCAGATAGGCTTGGAATTCGTTAATTTCTTGAAACTTCGAAGGGACGCGTTGTCTCTCTTTGAATTCGGAACGCCACAAACACGTGTTATCTCGTACCTAAAACTTGAATTTCTTCTTTGCTGGTCGCTTCTTTTTGGAGGGTAGGGTTGATGACTACATTTATCGTCAACATGCAGGTTCAGGAGTAGAACCTTCCAGGTTCACCAAAATATGCTCCCATCGCCCATTCCCTATCGCCGTTTGGCTTTGCAAGGATTGGTTGGACATGAAAGAAAATCAGAAAAAAATGCCGATGGCGTGAATTTGTTTAAGGTGGACATCAACTTGGCGGGAAGTGACCCACCCATTTGATTTCATGACCTTCTGCGGCATATGTGAAATGAAACATGTAAAACCTAGTTATGAAACTGCAACAGACTGCCGCTGACTCTGTTATAATTTCGAATGGCGCCTTCTGTAGCATGTCTGTGATGCACAGCCCTCTTCATCCGCAGGTTCAATAGTTGAGATTTTTTATTATCGTTATCCGCTTGTTCCATCATTGGGGTCTTTGGGGGGTTAGTCTAGCTTAATCTAATTCCTTGTCTTCGACCTTGCAGCCAAGGGTGGCTCTAACAAGAGATTAGAACTTCCGACGACGTCATTCTCAGATCCATTGGATAACGCAAGCACATACGCCCCACCACACGACAAGGAACGATCATCAGAGGTACGTACATAGAAATATAGACGCAGACACACACACACACACACACACACACGCACGCACGCACACACACACACACACACATATATATATATATATATATATATATATTACACTGGATATTTTGTATTATTTATCTTTCAAATATTTTAACAACGAAAATACTCAAAATTGTTCTAATATATTTGAAGATAATTTTATACTTTTAATTCTTTTCTTATTGCTTATTTCTGTCATTGCTATTAAAGTAACATTTGATGACGAACTGTTTAAATTATACAAACTTCGCAAAATCACATTCGATTTCTCACCGTACCTTTATTTATGAACTACAGGGTGCGATGGGTAAATTGTCGCCATTTCATATTTTTAATTTCGCGCATGCGCGTTATTTGTTTTTGATTTTGTCAACTGCACAGTATAGTAGGGTCAGTTGGGCACCGGTCTGTGAGAAAAAGAGCACCATGACGTAATTCACACCGCCAGAAACTTGGAAACGGCTTGCTCTACTGCTTGGCATTCGCGCCAGAAGCTCCAATACGAACTTTTCTGAGTATTTGTATGTCAATCTGAAGACAGTGCAGAGGATTCGGAAAGAGTTGGATGAGTCTAAGGTTTATTACGAAGGTGTTTGGAGTGATCACTAGTGATTGCTACGTTATGTCTCCATTTATCTTCCTACAGGGTCTCAGAACGGAGTCCTACATCAAGGAGGTAATGCTGCTCTGGGTAAAGGGAATGGCTGCTGGAAGACCCTATGTCTGGCAACAGGACTTTGCACCATGCCAACCAAGCAGGAGAACCCAGTCATGGCTGTCAGACAATTTCTACGACCACCTCACCTCAGTTTTAAAAAGTCGAATGAAAGTGATATATAATTAAACAATGAAAATCGAACAAGACAAAGGTAAAAATATCAGAATTTATTTTCCTTCCTATACCATTCTCTAATGAAGCTTTAATAAAAGGTAAACATGTTTGATTGAAAGATGTTTCCTATTTCTTCTTTATCTTATATTCAACAATGTAATTTATTTACGTTTTACGACAAAGCTTTTGCAAACTGTTTCTTGTGTCCATTTTAGTGAGTAAAAAATTGTATTTAAAGTACATGTTACGTAATAAAAGAAATAGTTTTCTTTTCATGAAAATACAAATTTGTCAGAAAGGTTGATAAAAACTTCACACATATATATAAAGATAATATATCAACTAACAATTTAATCCCAGCCGCTGTAGAAATCGTTTGATGCTTTAATACCAGCATACCATCCTTTGTGATAATTTATCTTTTTGCTGAGGTTGATGGCACTATTTTTTAACCTAATACAAGACACAAGAGGCTGTTTTTGTGTCCATTTCAGTGTGTAAAACTTTGCCTTGTTCTCTTATATGCGTTTGAGAGAAATCAAAAGCATTCGTTAGAAACACAGATAAGCAATGCTCAAATTCGTTGTAATATTTGTTCTGTTATATGGTGAGGTGGTTGCAGAAATTGTCTGACAGCCATAACTGGGTTCTCTTGCTTGGTAGGCATCGGACAGAGTTCTGTTGCCAAATACAAAGTTTATTTATTGAAATGGGCACAAAAACAGCTCACAAAAGCTTTGTCGTAAAACGTTGCCATCACTAGTGATCACTCCAAACACCTTGGTAATAACCATTAGACTCATATCTATCTATCTATCTATCTATCTATCTATCTATCTATCTATCTATCTACGAGGGTCATTTAA